ATGTACTTTGTTGTCATGGCAACCCAACTTAAATAAAGGTTACTCGTACTGTTATAAGACTGGCGTATAAAAAGAGCTGATTTTGTTAGTGTTGTATTCTTTGAACTAGATGAGTTAATTACTGATTTCTTATCACCATTTTGAACAACGTTATCAGAATTTTCTCAACTAAGTATTAAAAAAGACATAGAACATCTAATAGTGTAGGTCTCTGTTTGAAATAAACGCTTATAATGCATTACAGGATCATATAAAAATCATAATTGTATACAATATCCTTTATTCGATTACAGTAAATAATTCGAGTCACCTAGACTAGTGGCCACATTGCAACATAGTCGATAGCATTCGATCTGCACTAATAAGGACTTGACACACATGACATTGGTCACCACTCAGTGATCAGTCAATTGTGATTACACCTCCGTCCTACAGGAGGTTGTTCGTGGCCCGGATAACTCAGTGGTAACGTCTCTGACTATGAAGCTGGGTGACACGAGATCGAATCCACCAGGGAGTACCAGTTCCATCAAGATTACAGGTACACCTTTTTGATGAGTGTCAAGTAGCACGAAACTCGGGTCCAGGGTTTCCTGTCGACTACCTTCAACCACCATCTAATTCTAAGCACCATTTGTCATGTGGCATGCGCTACTGAAGTCGACAGATATAAGTAGTATATATGATCAATAAAAAATTGAAAGGCCTAGCAACAGAAGATTAAGAAGAACGAAGAAAAGAGAACGAGAACAAACAATAACTGATATGGAGTTGCAGGAACAATGAAGTCTGAAATGATCGACTGATATTTTGCGAATGAAGTATTTACTGTATGGTTCTTAGATTTTACTAAGATGTACTGTAATTTTATGTTCGAATACATTCGATTGCTCCCAATTTTGTTCTCGTTCACTACATGATAACTAGTAGCCATTAGAGAGAGTGACCTTTTAACCTGAGAAATTAAGCATTTCTTGCATGATATAAAACTACACTGAAGAGTCGAGATTGATCGTACACATGTTTGTATACAATTGTGGTATGTGCTACTGATTTCGACAGATATAAGTAGTATTTGTGATCAACCGAAAGTGAAATGCCTGATACCAGAAGGTCAACAAGATCGAAGGAAAGAGAACGAGAACAGAGAATGATTACTGTAAAAACAAAGAAACTATGAAGTCTGAGACGATTGATTGACATTTTGTAAATGAAGTATTTACTGTATGGTTCTTAGATTTCTATAAATTTAGCTGTTACAAGTATTCTAGTCATCCATCGTATATAAGGTGTAAGAATTGCAAGATATTCGTTTTTTGTTTGTTTAAACAATAAACTAGAAGTGAAAATATTCCAACAAATGTAGTGCTCAATAGTTGAATTCATGAGTTGATTAAAGCTAGACCACCATGGAAAACCTGGAAGCACTGGACGGCCAATTCGTCCTATTGTGAGACTCCTCAGCGCGCAAAACTGATAGGTCCTAGGTTCGAATCTCGCGAGGCGAAATCGTGGATGCGCACTGCTGAGGAGTCCCATACTAGAATGAAATGGCCGTCTAGTGCTTCCAGGTTTTCCATGGTAGTCTAGCTTCAATTTACTCATAATCTTAACCATTAAATCTAATATCATCAAGTTATTTTCAAAGATTTGAACTAATCGTCTAGGGAAAGAAGCACAAAAAAGGAACAATCGAAAACTTTATAACTTAAACATTCAATTGAATGTACCAACATAAGAAAATATCAAATTAACTATGCATATGATAACTTACAGCCCATGGCCATGAATGTGGTTCAGCTGATTTACCGCCAAGAATTTTTTCTATTATTTTATTATCTTGTTTACGTATTCCACATGTATTAGTTAGATTTTTGATAATTTGTTCACCAGCTATGAATAAGTATATATCATAAACATAGATAGAATAAATGTAAAAACAGTTTAGGTAATAAATATGAAATGTATGGAAAGAAAACAACAACTTCGCCTGGAGCCCATCTGGAGCCACTGCAGGTCCAAAGGCTGGATAAAGATGGGGGGTTGGATATAAGGTTAGCGACCCCATCCTGTAGAAAACTAACTTGCTAAAAACAAACCCGCTAACCAGAAAAAAATAATTTGAACTATTTAAACTCTGCTCTGGGAGTTAGAAGGTCTTCATTTAGAAGAGTTATGATGCCTCAGGGTGGAAGCCGAGTTCTTTCGGAAGTCATGAGGATGATCCCCATTCTAACAACTAGAGTAACCACTAATTTAGGTACACAAAATGCTCATACAGCGTGGGAGACCGGGAAAATCATCCAAATTGCTGAAGAAATAAACAGGTACAACTTGGAGGTGCTTGGAATCGGTGAAACATATTGGACGCAGGTTAGACAACAATGACTAGCTTCAGGGGAGCTTCTTTTATATTTCGGCCATGAAAAAGAAAAAGAGAACACACTAGCCTTTAGTTAGTAAACAAGGTCAACGCTGAACAAAATCGTTTACAAGTAACGAGTATTTGTAATCCTAAGTTTATGGTTACTGCTTTTCAGATTCTAATTTCCACTATTTTAAAGACAAACGTTAATGATGTTATTAAAAGGAGTAGTTGTTTACGAAATTAAGAGGACAAAAATCGAATGTCTGGTGCTCTAATCAGGTTGCTGGATATGGAGGATATATCTAGAGGAGTTGCAAAACCCTGATTCTAAACCAATGGTACACATGGGTTCAAAGATTATGGAGGAACAAATGGTGTGTGAACCAATTATTGGTCAGCGGCTACCATGGGACTGCATCTTCTTACGTTGCTCCACTGTCTTGTGGATTAGACCTTTAGGCTGAAGGCTTTGTGCGTGGCCCCCTTAGAAAACCACCTGACTCGGTTTGGGCAGCCGGACAGTATCATAGCCCACACACAAATCAAGTGGCTTACTTGTGTGGCGCATATGTATTCGGCCCCCCCTTTGTACTAATTTTTATGTGTCCAAATAAGTAAATAAAGTAGTGTGCATTCATGATCCAGCTCGCTGGGTTCGTACCCAGGACCTTTGGCCTCGCGCGCGAAATCCTAACCTCTATACCATTGAGCCATAATCCAATGTTGTTAATGTCTAACCTCAACCAATCCACGAAATTGCGCCACTGTCTCACAACCGACCCGATTGAACTTCACTGGTCACAGCTTCTCACTTGAAGTCCAGAAAATACCTCTTGAAGCCAGTCACTAGTGAGCTCATGATGATTATTATTACCGAAAAGTAAGTTTTTTGGAGGTTGTAGTAATTTCATATTTGATTTCATGAGTCGGTGGAGCAATTTCATGAGTTGGTTGAAGTTAAACATTAACACCACTGAATACCGGCTCAGCAGTCGAAAGATTAGTAGTTCGTGCGCGAGTTCAAATGTCCTAGATTCTACTTCCTTTCGTATAGTATCATAAATGCCCACTGCTATACTAGACGAAACAGTCACCCAATGTTCCCAGGTTTTCTATGGTAGTCTATCTTTAATCAGTTCATGAATTCAACCATTAAATTAATGATCTGTATTATCATTTAAGATCAGTTATAAATTAAATGAACTATGCACATAATCGCATACATCATACATTTACCTAATCCCTCTTTACTATTCAATTCATATCATCATATATCATCTTACATGTGATTCAAATGATAAGATTATTATTCTATAATAAATAATCAATGGTTATATATCATCAGAAGGGGTTTTGTGGAGATTTTAGTAATTTCAATAGTTGAAATCATGAGTCTATTGAAATTAGACCACCATGGAGAATCTGGAAATACTAGACTGTCTTTTTAGTCCCAGTATGAGACTCCTTAGCAATGCACATCCATAATCCTGCCCCCTCGAGATTCGAACCCAGGATCTAACTTATTCATCAGTAATATCATTCAAGATCAGATATGAATAAAATACAGTATTGCATTATATTATTGTATCATTCAATTACATATATGATATGTTTAACTAATCCTTCTTTACTATTCAATTCATATATCATCTTACATGTGATTCAAATGATAAGATTATTATTCTATAATAAATGATCAATGGATATACATATCAACTTCAATAAGATAATCTTTACTATTTAAATGGTATACGTTACATTGTCATATCTGTAATGTATACAAACTTATACACTACATAGTATAAAAACAACACCAAAAAAAATTCACCTAAAATTAAGAATTATCTACCAAGATACATTTCAAACTTATGAAGAGAATTGATATCAATAATCAGAAATAAGTTTAGTTTCAATAGTTGAAATCATGAATTAATTGAAGCTAGACCATCATTGAAAACATGAAAGTACTGGACTGCCGTTTCGTCCTCGCAACCATGATCCCGCACCACCCCTCCGGAGAGATTCGAACCCAGGTCCTATCAGTTTCGCAAGCGAACTCTTAATCATTAGACCATTGAGCCGTTATCTAATGGAGTTAATGTCTAACTTCAACCAATCCAGTTTAATTTTATAGGATGTTATTGATAGACAATATGTATGAATGGGTATATTTTCAATTGTGATATAGATTCATATCTAGCTAGGGGTTGGGGTGAGGAATGAGCGAGTTTCTTTAGTATTACTAAATCTATTTCATTCATGAATGTCGATTTCTACGTAACCTAGGTGAAGAAGGATTGCTTGTTGATTGAACTTAATTATTTAACATCGAAACACAATGTACATTGTTATATCCCTACGGAAATAATGAATAGTATCTGTTGGGATCCACTTATGGATTAATACTATACATATATTCCTCTTCTATAACTGTTCAGCAACTAAATTATGTTTGTTCATATTCCTCTTATTATATGCTTCATTTTGACTTATAGGTTATTATTATACGATTTGCCGTTCTTGAGTTATATTCAGTCTATTAACTATAGTCTCCCACATTTACAGCCACATTTAGCCAAATCTTGTACGAATGTTATTCTGTATTTTATGGTATGATGTGGTCAGTTTGGCTTGTATATAAACCCAATATGTTTGAAATATACGATTCATATCGCGGAGGCTAAGATTGATGTTATAGACTCAATCGACAGGCACGGACGATTTGGAAGGAAGAAGAACTCGTAAGGATTCTAGACTGCTTGCATGGGTTTTACGCATCATTGGTCCGGTCGATAAATCACTGTATTTTAATTGACGGTATCATTACATTATATATATATTGATAGGTGTACAAGACCACAAATTATAATGTACATTATGTCAATTAACTTAGAATGGTAGCTACATTAAAAATTGATCACTAAAAGGATTAGACAATCAGGTCAATGGAATCCAAGATGTGAGTTTGATTCTGTTTGAAATTCGTCATTTGAACATAGCTGGATCTGAGAGTTGATATTCATTTCAGGTCTCGAATTCAGTACCTTTCGTTTTAACCGTCTAATTAGTCTTAAAGTGAATAGACAATGTAATTTATTTTAAAGTTATAAGTTCTGGTTATTGTTGTTGATGGCTACTAGTTTCTATGTTTAATTAATTAGTTCATGAATATTGTAACAGTTTATCCTTTCATATTATCAATTATTCAGTTTTATATTTCATTAGTTGCTATGGTTACACGGACCCTATGAATAGAGACTCCATTATTAGCCATAGTTACAAACTGGTTGTTTTATTTGAAAATTGATAGTAGTGGAATCATAGATGTTGATTTTCCTCTCTTTAGGACCCAACAGATAGACGTATTAATGTTGGTATTCATACAGAGACTCAAACTTAGTACATATAACTTCGAACACTAGCGTTGTTCACTAGACTATTTATTCAACGGTTATATTCAATACAATTTGTGAACATCAAGAGTGAGATGAAATCATATATCTCAAGTTGATATTCAAAACTGAATTCCGATCGTTCCTTAGTTGAGATAAGTTCTTCAATAGAGTAATTTATCACAAGTCTTTAATGTTAGTATGAATACTAGAATGTAGACAAGCCTAGTTGACAAGTCTCAAATAGGATGTAACACAAATGTTGAATTCCACTGACACCTATAATCTCTATGTTCTAAACCATGTATTCAATTCGTATATCGGTGAAACCATAACTTCTGGACAACCTTTGAATGACTCGAAAATGACCTTGTGAGTGTCCACTTAATAACTAGGACTAAATGAACATTATAAACCAATGTAAGGAATTCGAATTATCATTAACAGTTGATGATTAGAAGTTAGGAATTACATTTAAAGTTTTCATCACCAACTGACATCAACTATAATTGCCAAAACTCTATTTAACCAAATGGATGAGTGAATTTCGCGCCAAAATTCGAGACCGGTTATCTTAAATCTGATTGGTTCGTCCATATTGTTATAGTCTTACCCATATATTATCAGATGGGGTTTGTGGAGATTTTAGAAATTTTCACAGATTGAAATCATGAGTCCCACACTAGGACGAAACGGCCGGCATGTGTTTCCAGGTTTTCCATGGTGGTCTAGCTTCAACTGACTCATGATTTCAATCTGTGAAAATTACCCATATATCTCAGATAGAAATTTAAGAAAGATTCAATAATCATCATTTCACTTACTATGTTCATTACATTGAGTCTTATTTAAACATGTACGTTTCTCTGTATAATATTTTGATATACATCTAGTTGTATGAATAAGATTTGGTGATATTGTTTTCCATGAATTATCTAAACATTTACGATAACGTATTTCAATACATTCCATTGGTAAACATTCTTTCCAATCTGACCAATTACTATAACGGTCTGTATTGAATACATACATTTCTTGAGTTTTTGGTCGATTAAAATGTATACGCCATGGAAACAATTTCAATTGAGTTTTTCGTCCGACATTCTATTAAAATTAAAAAAAATATTATATTGGTAATAAGCTATTGAATACTCCGCTTGGAGACTATGCTCCATTGGGAGTAACAGGCGTAAGTAAGTAAGTAAGTAAGTAAGTAAGTAAGTAAGTAAGTAAGTAAGTAAGTAAGTAAGTGAGTGAGTGAGTAAGTAAGTAAGTAAGTAAGTAAGTAAGTAAGTAAGTAAGTAAGTAAGTAAGTAAGTAAGTGAGTGAGTGAGTGAGTGAGTGAGTGAGTAAGTAAGTAAGTAAGTAAGTAAGTAAGTAAGTAAGTGAGTGAGTAAGTAAGTAAGTAAGTAAGTAAGTAAGTAAGTAAGTAAGTAAGTAAGTAAGTAAGTAAGTAAGTAAGTAAATGATGTTAAATTCATCTAATTTGTAATTAAAATCTCAACCCTTAAATTCTAACTTTAATCTTAACTATCTCATTTCAAGTATAACCAAAGTAGAAACTTTAAAAAACCTGTCTATATCTTTTAAGCTCTTGAGAATGTGTACAACCTATGCATTCATTAGAAAGAGTTTATGTCGTTGTTTTGTTTTAGTTTACACGTTTACTAACAGGTGGAAAACATTAATCGGACTATTAATTGTGAATCAAAAGGGGTTTTGAAGAGATTGTAGTAATTTCAGTAGTTGAGATCATGAGTCAATTGAAGCAAGACCATTATGGAAAACCTGGAAGCGCTGGTAAGCCGTTTCATTCTATTGTGAAACTCCTCCTCGTCAGTGTACATTCACGATGTCACCTTGCGAGACTCGAACCCAGGACTTATCGGTTTTGCGCGCTAGCGCTTAACCACTAAACCACTGAAGCGGCATCCAACAGTGTTAATGTCTAATTTCAACTAATCCACGAACTTGATCGATCCATCCACCATTGTCTTCAGTGTGTTACTATCTCACAACAGACCTGGTTGAACTCCACCGGTCACTGCTTCTCACTAGGACTACAGGAAGTACCTGTTGAAGCCAATCACTAGTGAGCATATGTTGATTAGTATCAGAAGTGGTTTTGCGGAGATTTTAGTAATTTCAATAGTTGAGATCATGAGTTAATTATGTGAAAACTGTTTGCACTTTAAAATATTAATGTTTCCTCTTTTTTATGGAAACAGTTTTTCCAGAAAGTGTTTTTCAGTTTGGTTAGAAAGTAGGTGGACATTGGTCGCAATTATTCTAAACTCGTCTTTATACTACACTTTTACCTAAGCTATATAATATGAATTTCTTAGTTCGACAACTAATAACCTACTAGCTAATTAAGCTCTTAAATGGTTTGACTTATTTTTTTAGTTGCCGTGTTTATTGTCGGTTGCCTACGCAAAGTACTTCGGATCCGTTGGTTAGACATTATCAGTAACAATCTATTGTGGAAGAGAACAAATCAGATTTCAGCGAAGGAAAAAATCAGGAAGAAGCGCTGGAAGTGGATAGGACACATGTTGAGGAAAGCACCCAACTATGTCACAAGGCAAGTCCTCACTTGGAATCGTCAACGCCAAATGAGAAGATGATGATTCAAGAACTCATTACACCGAGAAATGGAGACAGACATGCGAAGAATGGGTGGGTTGGAGAATAATGGTTGACAGCCTATGCTCCACTGAGATTAACAGAGGTAAGTTATTAAACTCTTCTAAATTGTATCCGATTCAAAATATCAGTCTGAAGATAATTAGTATTGATTTTTTCTACTTTGCATAATTGTTTCATAATTCTTTGAGATTGACGATAGAAAAAATATTCAGAAAGTCTTACTTCACCAAAGTTCAGTGAAGTTTGTCAACAAAACGTATCTATCGATTGATTCTAGTCAATTAAGATTGAAGTATCCACGACTGCTAGCTCAAGGAATCAAATCCAAAACTGTCGGTTTTACTTGTGAACCCGTTAAACTCTAAACTACTGATATTATAATAAATAGTGTATGTGTTTCGTTTTAATCAATTCAGAATATTGAACAACTGACCACTATTGTTTATTGTGAATAACTATCTCACATTTGACATGGTTGAACTTTCTTAATTACAACTTCTAATTTTAAACACCACTCACTCACTTACTTCGTGAATATCTCGTGGATGGTGACGATATTGAAGGGTTAAGTGGGCGAACCTAATGTGAGAATAGCGTTTAATGTGCTCTTGTTAATGATAATGTTAGCGAAGTGCTTATAAATGATCTGTTATGATCAGTCAGATCATACCTTTAATAACAACCTATGTGACTCATTCCATTTATAATGGCTTGAAATATCTTTTTGTTGAAACTTGATCAGCCCTGTATGGCATGTATGCATCCTGTATGGATTACCTCGATGAAACCATTATGACACAAATTAAGTATAAAACAGATGAGATGTGGTTAGCGGTATAACCCAGGATCAGTGTTTCGTCATCTTTCGGACTTGTAAGCCGGACTAAATATCAACTCTAGGATGAGGTACAATCACCTGGTAAAGCTTAAATAGAACAAAAAACACATCTCGAATCCGAGTGCTAGCTATATTTCACTGTAATTGAGTTTAACTTTGGTTCAGCTCAAATTTACTTGAACAATGTAGCCATTATCTTATACATATTCGTTTTATTCGTAATTTCTCCACCATATTGTATCTCCAGTTACTGTTTAGTACAATTCTAAGTATCCACGACTGCCAGCTCAAGGAATCAAATCCAAGATTGTTGGTCTTACTTATGAACCCATTAAATTCTAGACAACTGATCTTGTAATGAATAGTTTATGTGTTTCATTTCAATCCATTTACAATATTAGACTATTGACTACTGTTGCCTACTATGAATGGTTGAAGTTTTTTTAATCATAACTTCTTATTTAAAACATTACTCATTCACTTACTTTATGAATATCTCGTCGATGGTGACGATCTTGTTGATGATGACGATGATTATGATGAACATGATGATCATTGTCATCATCAGTATCGTTTATGAATCGATTCAATGCTTCTTCATCAATATACTCTTTATTAGAATCATATTCAGATGTATTATTCTTTTGAATTAATAATAAAATAAAACATATAAGGTAGATTATGTATGCGTTTATTAAGCTCATAATAATAGTAATAATGATAAATTGTAATCGAATTGTATACCACAATATCTGTCTACTTATATATATATCAGCGACCTGAAAGTTTACCAAACAATTTTTTTAGCCAATAATATTACACCATGTAAATTTGATTGGTTTATTTACTAAATAAGTGAATATTCAAATTTTAAGATGATGAGAACAAGTACCTTAATGTGTATGATGATGGTGGTGGTGGTGTTGGTGGTGTTGGTGATCATGGTGATGACGGTGATCGAATTTGACTGCCATTTCGGCAATTGTATTTTAGTATTTACATTTATGTTTACATTTGTATAAAATCATTATTGGATATAATGAACTAATCATGAATTCATAAATTCAATTATGTTTATAAATATAATATTACATAGTAACATTGTATATTCAATAAATAACCTTGAATGAAAATGGAGTTAGTGGATGGGGGGTGAATGAGGGGATGGGGTGGTGGTTGGTTGGTTGTTATGAAGCGAAACGTTGAATAAAACTTCAAATAAACTACAAGTGTTCAGATTGGATTGATTGACATTTAACTAAATTCGGAATATTCTAGAATGTGGTTTGTTTGCTGCCACCCACCCCCCTCTGTTAATGAATAGTTAGAATTGAACTAGATCGATAGATGTGTAATTCGTTTGAAAGTAATTTAGTACGTCAGTTCATTGGTTGTAGTGAATTGTCAAAACTATGAGTGAATGAGATATTCCGTTTAGTCTTTAGAAAATCTTGGCTTTGGGTTAATTAGTATCCGATACTTGTGATCATGGGGCAAATGATCCTTCCTATAAGATTCAATCTCATGTCACTCAACTTTACAGTTTGATAGTGACTTCTTGTAAGACTAAGATATTAACAATTTATTGATCATTGAGTAGCGACCAATATCATATCTGTTTAGTTCCTAGTAATGATCAAATTCTAATAATAAAGAAGGCTCTTGTCTTTTCAGAACTCCAGTCGAGACTAGTTGATAAATGCCAACTTAAACATAATTCAGGCCTTTGATTAATTTTCAACCTATACCAACTTACTTATTTACTTACGCCTGTTACCCCTTATAAAGGAGTACAGGCCGCTCACCAGCACTCCCCAACCCAACTCTGTTCTGACTCTTTCTTTCCAGTTGCCATTCATCCTATTTATGTCTGTTTCAATTTCCGACATAATGTGTTCTTCGGCCCTCCGTTGTTCCGTTTCCCTTCAGGATTGCAAGTCAATGCTTGCCTAGTGATGCAATTTGATGATTTCCTCAAAGTATGTCCTATCCACTACTACCGTTTTTTTAACTTTCCTCCTCAGCTGAAAGCTGGTTTCTCCTCTCCCACACTAGGCTTTTGCTGATGGTATTCGGCCAACGGACATTCATTATCTTACGCAGACAATTGTTTATAAATACTTGTACCTTTTTGATGATGGTAACTGGAAAGAACTGGAAAGGATTTCCCAAAACAGAGTTGGATGGAGAGTGCTAGTGATTGGCCTATGCTCCTCCATGAAGGGGAACAGGCGTATGTAAGTGAGTAATTGTTAGTATTAAACCTTCGCACATTGAGTTAATCAAGTACATTTGGTTAGCAAACGGTTTTCAGTAGTAGTTGTAGTGAATTTCCCTGTCACTTGATTAACAGTCTAAAATGATGATTTGTAGATTGGCCACTTCTTATCAAAATCAAGTTAAGTAAGCTAAACACTAACTGAAATTCAGTCATTATCTGCTTTGATAAAAGAGTAAAATTAATAATTGATGAAATGATCTTACTGGATAGCCAACTAGAAAGATCGCAATAAATAAAATAAACAGTATGAGGTTGTGGTGATCAAAAACTTAACAATCACCACAACCCTAAACTAATAATTACCATGTGCTCACTAATGACTAGTTCCAAGATAGATTTCCTGGAATTCCAGTGAGAAATCGTGACTAGTGAAGTCCAATCTGTGTCAAATGTGAAACAGTTATCCACCTCAGACAATGTATGAAGAGTTGTGCGAGATCATTGATCAAGTGAAGTTAGATATAAACACCATTGAAAGTCTGCTCAGTGGAATAGAGCTTAAGCGTCCGTGCACGCGACCAAGGGTCCTGGGTTACACTGCTGAGGAGTGCCATACTAGAAAGAAACGACCACTGAGCCAGCATCCAATGGTTTTAATGTCTAGTGACTAGCTTCGTGAGGGAATTCTCGGAATTCTCGTGAGAAGCCGTGACCAGTGTAGCTAATCGGTGTCGGGTAGAAACAGGTATCTACCTCAGTACAATAGAAGATGGTCATTCACAAGTCAATTTTAATTTAACATTTTGATAACTATTGCTAGCAATACAATCTGTCACTTGGATTCCACTCTGTTTGTCATTAGTCATTTGCATGTTCTCACTGAATGTCAAACCCTAATAATAGAATTCTACTTGTAACTGGTTGTAAAGTCTGACAAAATATTTCTAAATTTATTTAGTTCCACAAATTAAGTTTGTAGTGAACGAGAACACAAGTGAGGTCAATTGAACGTGTTTGAATACAACATTAAAGAACATCCTACTAAAATCTCAGAACCGTACAGTAAATACTTCAAACGCAAAATATCAGTCAGTCGTCTCAGACCTCACTATTCCTTCATTTTCATATCCTTTGCTTTCTGTTCGCATTCTTTCCTCTTAGATCTTCTTGGTTTTCTGCTACCAGACAGTCTATTCCTGACTGGTGTTATATACTACTTATGTCGAAATAAGTAGCACACTCAACACTATTACTTGATGTAATACTTCTCTGTTAGATTGATCGTTTTTCACTTTGTGACTTCAACAAATACGAATAATTCATATATCGACTTGAGCTACAAATCTTTTTCATCACTTCCACATAACTAGTTCTTTTGAATTATATCTATCATCATTTAGCTAATATCAAAAATATACCAAGTGAACTATCAGCGGACGTGTAGAAGTTTAATATCAATGAACAGACATCTAGTGAATTTTCAGCCATTGCCGTCGAACATCATTTAACTGTTGTACAATAAGTGTGTGAACAACAACACAAGTAGAGATAGTCGAATCTGAGAACCATACAGTAAATAAGTTCACTTGATGTTGTTTTAATTGTATCTTTCCGTTGTTATTTGGGACCGCAATTGATCAGTCTCATGTTGACATATGTGCACCCTGTGCGAATTGCCTCGCTGTAGCCTTAAGTCACAACCTTGTTCGGGGTTCAGATACATCCAGCTGACGAGTCCCAAATAGGACGAAATGCTCATCCTGGATTCCACTGCTAGCCACTATCCATCATACAATAAATACTTCATTTGCAAAATATCAGTCCATCGTTAGATAGTGGTTGGAGGTAGTCAACAGAAAACCCTGGACTCAGGTTTCATGCTACTTGGCACCTGTCAGTAAGGTGTACCTATAATCTTGAAGGAACTGGTGCTCCCTGACGGATTCAACCCCGTGTCATCCAGCTTCACGTCTCTGACTGTGCAACGTGGTCGATAGCATTCGATCTACACTAAGAAGGATTTGACGCACATGACAGTGATCACCACCCAGTGATCAATCACTTGTGATCAGTTCATCGTGTCAAACTTCATTATCCCCGCATTTTCATATCAATTGAGTTCTATACTCGTACTTTTCTTCTCGATCCCCCTACTGCCAAACATTCTAATTCTGACAATCGTTACCTACTACTTCATGTCAACATAAGTAGTACATACACTATAATATTCACACAGATAACAAATACATTGATAAAAAAAATAATCCCATACTATTCATTTTACTTCACTGTAATCACATGTGAAACTGTTTCCAATCAAGTCCATATATGGAATGTTGCATATTAGATTTATTCTTTAAAATGATTAATCTGTTTTGTTTCGGTGGGGAAGGGGTTGTTGTTGTTGTTTTTTCCATATTCAAATTCAATGTAGGCAACATATTAGACAAATAAATGACGTCATAATGATTAGTTTCTAAGTTAGATATTGCCATATTATCTAAATATTATTCATTATAAACAAATGATATCATGATTATTATACAATAATGAATCATATAAACATTTACTGATTAATTTTAATACTTGAGATCATAAGTCAATTGAAGCTAAACTACCATAGAAAACCTCGGAAGCACTGGACAGTCATTTCATCCTATTGTGGGATTCCTCAACAATGCGTATCCACGACCCCATCTGGCGAGATTCCAGCTCAGGATCTATCATTCCACTAGACCACTGAGCCTGCATTCAAAAGTGTTAATGTCTAATTTCAACTAATCCACGAAATTGCGCCATACATTCACCATTGTCTGCTGTAAGTTACTATCTCACAACAGATCCGGTTGAACTTCACTGGTCACTGCTTTTCACTAGAACTCCAGGAAGTACCTGTTGAAGCCAGTCACTAGAGAGCATTTGTTGATTAATATCAAAAGTGGTTTTGTGAAGATTTTAATAATTTCAATAGTTGAGATTATGACTCAATTGAAGCTAGACCGTCATGGAAAACCTAGAAGCATAGGGTTTTCAATGAGAAACTTTAATAAGTAGTTTATGATCATATTGGGAATGAGTTAAAAGTATTACTAATAGAAAGGAATGATAATTGATTTGGTTTGAGCTTCTGGATGATATTTCAACAAATAATATTATCTGTGACTGGTATGTTTCAACCAATTACAAGTTCATTTAATCTGAGAACGGAACGAGGATTCTGTGACACAATGACAGAATGCTAGCTATTCCGACGTACCCCAGCTCACTAACTAGAAAGAGAAGTCCAAGTCCGAACGGGGAAATATATATATAGCAATAAATTGTCTTTGGGAAGCGTTGAAAAATAACATACTAAAACATACAACGAGCCAATAGCGTTTAAGATCCTCCGAAGTGGGAAAATACGACATGAAGGTAGAAATGAGCGCTTTTGGCGCGAAAACAAGAAATTCAAATTTTTAAAATAAAATTATAAAAAATAAGGTATTTATCAAGTAAGTTCTGACGATCTAACATCCCCAACATAATACAACATGAAGTTATTTTGGGAAATAATGTGAAAGATAATGTATCTGAGGTGAGCTCATTTGTTTAATTGTGTAGTTTTCATTATGGTTCTGGATAACATTATTGGTGTTTACTCCACGTGGAAGTATGCTTCTAATCAGTCAGTCAGTAACAACGTAGAACTTCGTACGTACGTACATCCCGATGAGAATAACGAATGGCAATTGTTGGAATCTATTTCTGGACAAAAACTGTACATATATATTTATCGTATAATTGTTAAGTAATTC